TGAGGGTTGGTTTGAAGAGGGACTGAGGGGTCGCGAGTTGAGGCATGACTCACTCTGCATAAAAGGGTCGTAAATTCTTCGAATGTATATTTATAGTTTCAAGCGATTTTTGTGAAGTGGCATTTAAAACTTTTGACTCCCGCCTCCCGCAATCCACCCATGTGGGGGCTGTGGCGGGAATGAAATGCCATGTAAGCATTTGATGGGTGTATTTTGTTATGGTGTTATTGCGGGCATCGGCCATAAAAGCTTTGAATTCTGATCTTAGCGATCGCGAAGCTCTGCCAAAGTTGGTACCGTTGTCGGAGTAAACATTTTTTGGGCAACCTCGCCTCCCTACGAATCTTGCAAATGCTGCCAAGAATGATTGTGTGCTTAAATCAGAGGTGGCTTCCAAATGGATCGCCTTGGTTGCAAAGCACACAAACAGACATACGTACCCCTTAGACACCCTGCAACCTCGTCCGTTGTAGTTCTTTATGTCGAAAGGTCCGGTGAAGTCGACACCTGTGTTAGTAAACGCGCGTGAAAATGTGGTACGTTCTTTAGGAAGAATGCCCATAAGCTGCGTTTGCGACCGTTTTCGATAGATCGTACAGGTCTTACAGTTGTGAATTGTCGATTTGATCATATTCTGGACTCGAGGTATCCAATATTGCGTTCTAATCAAGCGCAACATAAGCTGATTCTCACCATGCACTGACAACTTGTGAACGAACTGGACTATAAGACGAGACAAGTTGCTATTATATGGAAGGATAATTGGGTGACGCTCGTTATAAGCGAGATCTAAAGATTTTCCAAGGCGACCACCTGTCCTAATTATATTTTCCTTGTCGATGTATGGGTTCAGGGACAACATTTCACTTTTTGGACTTATTAATTTTGCTCTCTCTCAGTGATGAGTACTCCTGACCATAATGCTGCTTCTGGCAGATAATTATTAAGCGTAGAGTCGTTGCTTTGATTTCATCCGCTGAAGTCGAACAAGATTCCGCTTGAAATGAAGCTCTAGTGTTACGGCGAGTTCTTTGGGAGAATCTCAGTACGTATGATAGAACTCTCAAAGCTCTCGGTAGATCGGAAAATCTTTCAAGAATATCATTACTAATATCGACTGCCGTGGTCGCATGAACCTGTACCCATTTTTGTTCTAACTGTGTCTTATAGTCCTTTTCCTGTGTGGGCCATTGTGTTCTTTCTTCTTGCAACCAAGAAGGGCCCTCCCACCACAAGGAACAGTTTACCAATTCTTGCGCACTAATACCCCTGCTAGCTAAATCTGATGGATTTGATGCTGAATCCACATGGAGCCAATTTTGGCTTCCAACTTTCTTAATGATTTTTGTCACGCGATGGGCAACAAATGTTGACCATGAGCAGGGAGGTTTTCGAACCCAGGCTAGGATAATAGTCGAATCTGTCCACAGATGTTTGGTAAACTGGCCTAAAGTGAGATTGCTAACGATCGATTCAACAAGTTCTGCAAGCAGAACAGCACCGCAAAGCTCCAATCGTGGTAACGAAATAGTTTTGACCGGTGCCACTCTGGACTTAGCCAGTAGAAGATTGACAAATACCTTTCCCGCTTTTTGAACCCGAAGGAAAATAGTGGCTGCGTATGCCTTTTCTGAGGCATCCTTTGCTAAACGCGTTTCAGTTCGAAAAAATTGTGAGCAAGCAATCTTAAGTGACGGTCCTAATCGTACGTTATTTGGAAAATCCTGTTTGAACGGCAATGACACAATATATTTGCCTTCTTTATTCCTTTTAGTCGTGTTTTTATAAAGTTCCTCGCAATAGGTTTCATCTTTGTTGTAGGTCTTATTTCTTGGGATATCTTCCAATTCCCAAAAGGACGCTAAACGTTTGTCTAAATTTATTTCGCTAAAAAATGATACGCACTTATTCGCTGGGGTACTTGTGTCAGTTTGACCGATGAGAATCCAGCCGAAGGCGGTTTCCTGAGCAAGAAGAGTTCCCAGTACGTCTTTCCTGATACCGCCTAGCATTATTTGTGCGAAAATGTCTCCACCGAGGACAAGATCAACTTGCTCACTTACAAAAAATCTCTTGTCTGCTAAAACTAAATCTGGAAACGCTTGTTTAGTCCTAGCATCGATTTGGCAAGTCGGCAGATTTCCAGTTAATTGTGGTAATACCAACACGGTGGTATCTATATTGATCAATGGGTCAATTGGTGACCGCAGTTGTATGAAACACGCCTCTTTTACTTGAGCTGAGACCGTATTATTTATTCCAGAT